TACTAAATGTAAATCTCGTTTGTATTTACAACCTTCTTTCATGATTGAATATTTTTCTTTCTGTTTTCGTGTTGTTTGACTAATTTTATCATCCAGTCCTTTGTTGTTTCCATGTATGTTAGTTAGCCAATAGTTGTTGTCTTGTATGACAATTCTAGTTGAATAAGTTCACTTCCGCCTTCTTTACGGGGTATGTATCGACGGTCTACATCAGCCTTTGGATGATGTATGTTATGCTTAGAAAGAAGATTTCTTGCCTTAGAATACAGTCGTCTGATATCATTTAGAGTCCAGTTCAAGATGTTGAAACTATATTGAATCACTGGGATGGAAATGCTATTAGTGGCTATAATTCTGGTCTGAGTTCTTAATATCAGTCACACCTTCTATAGTACTCTTTTCGCACCATTTCTTTCATTTTTTTGGTGAATTCATTCACCCTCATTTACCCCGAGTTACTTATAAGTTTCTTGTTCTAAATCTTTGATTGTTACCTAAGGGTCTAATCTAATAGTGGAGATTTGTTGTAGTGACTCTCGTAAAACTGTGGCTTTAGCACATTTATCCAAACCGAATTTCATTCCAGTGTCATCACTGAAACATTTTACTGTTTTCAAGAGACCTTCCAGCTCACTGTCATTCCCAGCATACAACAAAAGTCATCCATGTAAAATAGACGGCTTATTTTCTTTTGAGATATCTTATAGCCATGTTCCGTCCTGTTAAGTTCGTTGGTCAATACTATTAGGGATATATAAAATAGTAAGTGGGACAAATAGTCACCTTGAAATATTCCTCTGTTGATGACTATTTCACAAGACTTATAGTCTCCATTTATATGAAGTGTCGTTTTCCATATCGACATACTTTGCTAAAATTGATAACGACAGGTGATACCTTGTATATATTTAAAGACTTTAAGATCCAGGAATGGGGAATACTATCAAATGTCTTACGGTAATCTGTCCAGGCAGTACAGAGATTTTAATTTGTACGGAAGCAGTTTTCCAAGATCCTTCTATTAATTAGTAATTTGTCTTTACATCCGTAAGAGGCACATTTTCACCCTTTTTGTTCAAGATGTAGTATGTCATTTTTTTTTTTCTAAGAAGGAATATATCTGTTTTGTCAGGATAGATATCAACAGTTTGTAAGTTGTGGGAAGACATTTAATTGTTCTCTAGTTTTTGGAACATTTGTGTCATCATTCTTGAGTAAAAGGAAAATAATTCCTTTGGTTCCCGATCGCGGAATTTTAATAGAATCATTGACTATTTCTTGAAGTTCTTTGACTAGTTTTTATTTTTTTGTGCTCTTTTTAGATAATTGAGCCAAAAGTTAGGAATTTTATCTATTCCTGAAGATTTCGAGTTGTGTGCTTTTTTTTCCAGTGCACATTCAACATCCTCTTCTGTGATTCCCACCAATTCTTGTTCTGGTTTATTTTTCATCCATTCTATCTCTTGTGTAATCCAATTTGCTTCTTTGTTATGTTCTTTAGGGCAAGCCCATATTTTTCCCAGAACTATATAAGCTCTTTCATTTTCTTTTGTCTATGTGCGGTAGTGGGGTGGTATTGTCACTAGAATTTTTTGTTTCTCTATTTCTCTGTAAAATTTATTCGGATCGGTTTGAAAGATCTTGTTCTATCTTTGGAATCTTGATCTTTTTTTTATAACGTCTAATTCTTTCAGCCTTCAGTTGTGTTGTTTTTATTTTTCTTTAGCTGATAGGACATCATTTTCATTCCTAATGTTGTATTTTATTTTTACTTTTCGGCTTTTTCCAGTTCTAACTTTTGTTCCTCTTACCAGTTCATCGAGTACTGATAATTCATTTCTAAGTTGTTCAATTTCTTTCTTTCTTTTTTCTTTTCGAAGGTGGAGCTTTATGACTGTGTGACTGGCTTTTTCACTTTAAGGAATTAATTTAAGTGCTGCTTTATAGAGTTTAATAGTTTTGAGGTTCTGCTTTGTTGGTTTTGATTTTCGCATTTGTTCCCGTTCCTCTTTTTCAGTATTTTCAGTCTGAATCATATGTCTCATGATTCCTTCCTTGGATTCTTTTATACTATTCTTGTTTTCCGTAAAATAATTCGGTTCAATGTGTTTTGGTCTCAATTTATTGCAGGCCTGGGAACTTCTAAGATAAAGGTTTTCCAACTCTTTTAATCTTTCAACATTAACTTCGCAGTGATCAGTATGTATCTCAGTTTCTTGATTATGATCTGTGATTTGTGTGATGATAGTAATTTTTAATGTCTATTTCTGGTTTTAATTCCATATTCTGGGCACCCACCAAATATGTCTGCAGTTCTTTTTATTTCTTTAATTTCAGAATCTGTCGATCAGTTATTTCTCATGGTGTACCTTCCTACATTTGCTAATTTATTTTCTTCACTGTACTTTCTAATTGCTTGTCCAACCTTTTCTCGCCAAATGTCATATGTCTGGCGAGTGATCCTTTTCTGGGGTTTGTGCAACGCTTCGTAGAATGCAGTCATAACGAGTTTGTCCTCCTCACGAGACCATTTTACCTTTTCTTTCTTTAAGTCAACGGTTGTAGATCTAGTTAGAGAATTTACAGGGTCGTCATTGGAATTATCCCGGTTGTGAGGACCTAAAGATTCATAATTTCTTCAGGAGTTTAGCAGATTTTTCGATCTCGGGTAGGTTCCCTCCTGAGGGACGGTCTTCCTGTTTATCTACTGTAAGTGTCATGCTGGAAGTTTTGGTTTGACTTTTGGTTCTCATATTGTTCCGACGAGTGACGCACAGGGCCACCCAAAGTCTCCCGGAACATTGGATAACGGACTTTTACAAACAGGATTCTGATTAACACTTTGAGTTGTGGGTTGTTGATTTGAGTTTTCCTTCTCTCAAAAAAACTGACCATACTAAATTTTAACTTAGTATAAGTCGCAATGACCCCTCCCAGATGAAAGGTCATAGTTGGGAATACATTGGGGGTTATCACGAAAAAAAAAAAAAAATAGATAATCAGCAAATACCACCCTTACCCATGCGCCTACACACACACACACACACACACACACACACACACACATATATATATATATATATATATATATATATATATATATATATATATATATATAAATAAACAATATAGTTCATGCCACATTGACGGAAAACCTACCAGTAAAAAGGAATTCTCTTATTGCTATATTTGTACAAAAACGCACAACCTTAAAATTTAAAATTCAAACTCAGCGTTGCGACCGCACGTTCCAAAACAATAACACATTTCTCATAGCACTTTTTGGATTACATCTCTATTTTCGTTGTCCTCTTATTACCGAGAAGTAAAAAACAAGAACAAAATCTATTTCCATACCTGAGGATATCTGTAGGAACAGACGAAAGCTTGTAAAAATTAAAAAGACCTTATGCAACTGGAATTTATAAACAGGGATCATATCATTCATATACAGGTTCGGGGTTAGTGTATCTTATTGAAATTGTTTGCGAAGATGTATTCTCGCCATTTAAATCATTAACCTCTATATTCGTTTTTTTGTATGAATGATTCATGTAATTATATATATATATATATATATATATATATATATATATATATATATATATATATATATATGTGTGTGTGTGTGTCACAAATATCTTCATGTCATTTTCCATTGATCATTTTTAAAAATACTAATATCACACACATTTTACATAGTTAAAGCTCTTCGTAATGTGTAAGCTGTACTTGTGAGTACAATTTTTGTATTTCTTTAAGGTTTGAGCTACCAGGGTTTCCTTCAGTGAGTTTTTTCTGATCAAACCGAGGACTCCAACTACAACTGGAATTACTGATGCCCTCATGTGCCACATTTTTGCGATTTCCATTCCAAGATATTTGTATTTTGATTGATTTTTGAAGACCTTCAAGGATACATTAGAATCTACATTAGAATCTATGTCAATAAGAAAGCACTCTCCTTCTTCTTTTTCTTTCTTCTTCTTCTTCTTCTTCTTCCTCTTCTTCTTCTTCTTATTATTATTATTATTATCTATTTTCTCTTTGGTACCTAGATTTTATTAATTTAAGCGTACTAAGAGAATGGCGGCAAAGTCTCACCAGCCTACCCTTGAAATGGCTAGATATAACCATAAGTTCTATGCTAACAGTTTCTTCTCTCGCATTTCTCATTTGTGGAACTCTCTTCAAGCTTTGATCTTCAAAAATTTAAATGCAATATCAATCGTTATCTTCTGTCTTCTTAATTCCTATTTTTTATATTTACTCTCCTTATTAAGTTTTTTTTCTCATATTCTCATACACTCAGTAAACCCCCCCTTACGTCTTAGTGGCTTTATTGCCTTGCCTGGGCGAAATGATTAAAGAAATGTATTTTCAAATTTCTAGTAATCTGTTCCTTTTTCTATTAGACTTCAGCAGTGATTTGTTCTGAATTATATCCGTTATCCTAAGATATGTGGCTACAGTCCTTTCTTAGGTTCCCGACGATATATTTCCCTAATTTCATCTTTCAAAAAATCATTGATGGGGTCTGAAAAAGAGTTAGTATTTTCTGGGTTTTTCAGAAAGGTAAAAATCATTAGACATATCGTAAATACACAGAAGAACATTGATATAATAAGTCTTCCTTTTCAGTAAAAAGCCGAGAGTTTCAAAAGAAAGAAAACGGCGACCTGACTGATCAAAAGTTACAAGAAACAACGTTGAGTGGGGGAAAAGAACCTTCAGTTGCAGGTTAAATATGTCAACTGAAGCATATGTGTGGAGACGGCTAAGCGGTATGGCGTGCTTGCTGAAGACGGGGGCAGGATTGCGAAGAAGTGACCCTGATTCCATCTCCACACGATCTAGACGCCATCTTGGCGACACCTGCATACGTTTCGCATGACCCGTCAACGTTATTGGATTTAACGAAGAAATGATGTGATTATGGCCATTATCAGGTGACAGAGGAGAATGTCCGGAGTGATGAGGCAGAGGGTCGGACTTTTAGATCAAAGGGGATAGATAAGAACAATGCGTAGTTGCAAGAGAAGAGAGAGAAAAAAATGCATAAGCCTGATAATATGTGTCTGTAAGGGTAGATAGGCGTGTGCAGCCAGGTGAATATTTGAGTCTGTTTGTTGTTGCGACTGGATAAAGATTTAAGGGTATAGGTGTATTTTATGCATCTGCGTGCTGCGGGGGTGTCATTTTCTGCATATGGCCGATGTCAGATAGTTACATCAAGAAACATACAGATATTGGTAAAAACGAAAGAAAGAAAGAGAGAAAGAAAGAAAGAAAGAAAGAAAGAAAGAAAGGAAGAAAATTTAAATGAAAAATAATGAAAATTTAACTGAAAAAGAAAATTAAAAAACCCCGAAAGAATGCCGTGTGAACAAGAAAACTACTACTATTTTTACTACTACTACTACTAATAATAATAATAATAATGAGAAGAAGAAGAAGAACAAGAACAAGAACAACAACAACAACATAGTGAGAAGAGGAGAAAAAGGAATAATATAAGGAAGGAGAATGAAGAAAAATTGGAATTAAATGTGAGAAAAATATATCGAAAAGCAGAAGAGCCTTTATGAATAAAAGAAAAAGAAAATGAAAAGGATGAAAGAAAGAAAATTTAAATGAAAGATAAAGAAAATTTAAATGGAAAATAAATTTTGAAAAAAAAACAAAAAATAAAGTGAGGAAAATTAAATTAATAATAATAATAATAATAATAATAATATGAAGAAGAAAAAGAAGAAGAAGAAGAAGAAGATGAAGGAGAAGAAGAAGAACAACAACAGCAACAATAATAATAACAACAAGGTGACAAAGAGGAAAAAGAAATAATGTAAGGAAGGAGAAAGAATAAAAATTTAGAATTAGATGTGAGAAAAGCAGAAAAGCCTTTAAGAAAGAAAGAAAATGAAAAGAAAGTAAAAGAAAAGAAAGAAAAAAGAAGGTATAACACAACAGAACAAAAAGCAATTGAATGGCGAAAGGATAATCACATGAACAGCTTCAACGAGGATGAAATAAAAAATGAAGAATGAAATAGGGAACGCAAGATTGAATTAATTTTGAAAAAAAGAATTCGCGAAGGAAAAAATGAAAGAATAAAATACGTAAAAAAGAAAAAAATACATTGAAATAATTGAAATCCTTGAAAGAAAGAAGGAAGTAGCAAGACAAAGCGAAATGAAGAAAAAGAAAACAGAGGATAAAAGAAAGAAAGAAAAGAGACGAGAGAAATAGATGAAAAGAATATGAAAAAGAAAGAATGAAAAGGAAAAAATGAGCTTGTCGCCAGCCAGTAAAGTCATTCGTTGCAGATTGACATAAGTAAGGTGACAATTTTTCGCCCATTGCAGGCAGACTGTTGTCACCTCTGGGTGCAATTCGGCAGTATCAGAGTCAATTTGACATTTGACTGATAAGAGATGACGAAGTATTTTTTTTGTTTTTGTTTTTATGTGCCGTATCCTTTCAGGACTCGAGCGATCGTGGCTCTCCACAACAGCCTATACCTTATAATGTTTTTCTTATTAATATCCCTCCCTGTACTTACTTAACCATCCATTTACACAAGATTATTAGGGAAGATACTGACGCTTGACGATATCTTTAGTCCCTCTGCTTCCACTTGCCTTCCATATGTATTGTGAGTGCCAAATTTTCCTAGCCTGCCTTCTTTATTATGTATCCCAGAAAATTCAGCTGTCTCTTTCTAAGTACGTCTCTTTTTTGTTCCAAATTTTCCTTCAAACTCCGGCCATGGTATTCTCAATATCCTTCTGCAGAACCATATTTCTGTTGCTTCAAGTGTTTACATTTGGAGTCTTGCATTCGCTGCCATATAACATGATTGACATGACTTAGTCTTAGTTTTCTTTTCTTTTTTTGAAAGAAATTTTATTTAAAGCGGTAAAAAAATGCTGTCCTTCACAATCCCACATACAGAAATAGACAAAAAATATAATAAATTACGCAATAGATAGATATGAACAAAAAGTGATAGATAGATAGATAGATAGATAGATAGATAGATAGATAGATAGATAGATATAAATAGACAAGGATAGATAGATAGATAGATAGATAGATAGATAGATAGATAGATTGATTGATTGATTGAATTCATATAGACTTGTTTAAACAAAAGACTATTTGAACACGATAGGGACATTTTAAAAAGCAACACAAAATGCATTGGTTATTCACTGTAACAAAACGGACCACAATTTTGACATAGAGAATGCTACTTTGATTGAAAGAGAAAATAATCCATTATGTCTGCAAAGTGCCTTGATAAATTTGCATCCAGGCTCTTACAATATATCACCATTTTTAGTAGATTTTCTGTTGTCACAATGTCCAATAGACAGAAACAAAGGTGATCGAGAGACAAAGAAAAAGAATACAGATGAATTTGGCTAGAATGAAAAAATTATTCTGTCAAAAAAAAAAAAATTTCTTTCAAAATATTTTTTCAAAAATATTGAAACTACCAGCGTCTCTCGTTTCGTGCACATGAGTAGATGTGACAAGATCAACAAAGCCCAGTCCAATGAAATCCTAACGGATGATACGAGTCACAAAACCTTTTTCCAAATTGTCATACTTCTCATACTTTCTTTTTAAATACTGTTTGTTGACATATCAATTTATATATCGTTATCACACACACACACACACACACACACACACACACACACACACACACACACACACATATATATATATATATATATATATATATATATATAGCACATATTGTACTCATGTTAAATAAAACAGTGCTCGATGTAATATAACAGAGCAATTAATATAAATTTAAAACTTTTATTTAATTTTTATTTTTATTTTCAATTTTTAAATTCGCAAAATTAATTTTTTAATTATTATTTTTCATGTTAATTACGTTCTATTTTTAATATATTACTATTAAACAAATATATTCATGTGTTAATGAGAACAAGTAATCTCCCTTTAATTATATAAATGTTAAAAAAATTAAAATATGAATAAACAGACACTGAATTTTAAAAATCGCTCAGCGTGAAACAGCGCTGTTTATGTGTTACTTGTTATTATTGTGTTAATGCTATTTTAAGTATATATATATATATATATATATATATATATATATATATATATATACTTAAAAATTTATTATTCATGAAATAAATTGTAAACGAAATGGATCTTTAACCCGTTGAACCCTGCCCACCGCTTTCATGTGGTAGAGGAAAATGGCGTAATGCCCAGCCACCCGTTGAACAGTGGTAGAGAAAAATGATTTAATGCCCAGCTACCAGGTGAACGGTGTGTAAACACTTGTACCTATATTTTTTATATCTACCGTGAAACACTAGATACCAATTATTGGCGAATTTTGACTCAGAAGCTCCGACAGAATGATTAAAATTGTCCAGGAACGCAGAGCTCAAAAGGTTAAGGATTGTTTTTACTTTTATATATATATATATTTAACATTATACTATATTGAAACGGAAGGCTGATCTTGAAAAAAATTCAGTTATCTGTTTTGATTATGTCCATCGTCTTTTCATGTTGAATTGAATATAGTTTAATGTTAATTATGTTTTATGAATATGTCCTGAAGATGGTCGACTAGACCGAAACGTCCGACGTTGACATTATATTAACATTAAAACAGCAGCATAATTGCATATTAGGATTTTTGTTTGTTTTTCCGTATATTTTCTTCATATATATATGTATATATATATATATATATATATATATATATATATATATATATATATATATATATATAAGAGTGATCATTATCGGAGATTGTCCGTATGTAGATATAAGGTGAACGCAGTCGACTAAGTCGAAATTTGGACACGTTTCACCCATTCTGTTCCGATAACCGTTACTCTAACAGCACGTCTACGCTGATTACTGTTTTTAAGGGTTTGTTTGTTTTTTGTTTTGTTTTTTTTTTTTTTGTTGTTTTTGTTTTTTGCTTAGTGCTTGTACTTAGTTTTGCATCAGGTATACAGCCTTGTACCAGATTTGATCATCACACAAAATGCCCTTTTCCCACTTTGGCTTTCTATCGCCGACCTGACATACATACATACATACATACATACATACATGCATGGGAGGATAAGGGAAAGCTGTGAATTCGTTGTTCGATTATTTTGACCTGACATATTGATTAATGTCTGTCTGCCGATCTAGCTCGCTGTTGGCGACGCGAATAAAATTTCGTATAATTATGATTTAAGTTATTTTATATTAAGTTCATATCAATAATTTTCTTTATTGCAATATATAAGAAGAAAGTGGTAAGTAAGAAACAACGAAGATTTATACCCGGTTTCATTTTCACTGTCATATGTCTTCTTCCATAAGCCATCATGACTTCTAGGAGTTATTCATATTTCATTTTATTACAAACAAATGAATAGTCAGATAGAGGCAGACATTCAATAGACAGATAGACCGAGAGGGTAAGACTTCCGAGTCTAGCTGAGTCGTGATACAGTCTTTGACTGTAAGCGACGTCTGTTGAACTCTCTGCGTTAGCAGAGACGAACCCGGACGAAGCTTTGCCGAAGGGCAAGGTTTCGTCCGGGGAGGTAGACAGGGCCTGAACCCGTCTAGGCGGGTTCAAAGGCTATATTTTTGGCCGAGCCTACGGGCTCGAAGATACCCACATTAAACCGGCCTTGTGCCATATTCAATCCTCGTGGGTAGATCGATAAATACTGACATTCAATGACTGATTTACATATCTTGAGTCACATGAAATTGGTTCAACCTAGCGTGAGAACACCGAAAGTTTAAAAACAAACAATTGCATAACTGTACACAGAACAATCCGTGAAAACGAATGTAGCAACATTCGAAAGTACTCAGAGATATGGAGAGATATTAAAAAGAGACGACAAGGTGTGTCTGTTTGATTTTTATTGTATTTTTACAATTTTCGAATCAAATGTTAGGTATTGGAAACAAAATTGTAGATAAAACGTCTGAAGTTAATTTGTATTCAGTAAAGGTTTTCTTTTCAAGCTATAAAAATATTCTCTTTCCTGCAAAATCTATCGATCTTCGAACAACCTAACCTTCAAACTTAATAATGCACAAGTTACCTGTCACTTAGCCGAATACAATGAGCATTTTTGGTGAATTCTTTGACATTTTCTCAATAGGACCAATCATCTCTTGGATTTCGTCGGTTTTCGCGTTACCGCCACGTGAACTGCTATAAGTCTTTTTTTTACCACCACAATAATTTTAAAGTATTTTTTATTCATTTATTTATTTTATTTTAAATTATCTTTTTACCATTCACTGCGTATCGTGTTGTATCTATATATGTAACTGTTCAATGTGTTTAAGTTTTCGACATCAGTTTAAATAACGATTTTACCGACATCAGTTTAAATAACGATTTTACCGGTGACTGAAGCACTATGGTGATTTTCTAAGCGTAGCTTAGATGTGGCACAAGGTCGAAAGTATGGGGCACCCACTGAGGATTGAACTCAGTACTCAACTGTAATTGTTCTAGCGAGACAAGCTTTTTAACCATTACGCCAAGGCACGAGTTCTATGTTACTTAACTAAATGTCTCCAACGATAATCTGAACATTTTGGCGAAGAATATTAATTAAAATTTTAAAATATGCGTTCATACCATTTTACTTACTTTCAAGACAAACATAGTAGCACAAATTTCTGCCTTTATAAAAGAAAACAACACTTTTTAATTAATTACGCTTGGGTGAAACGGCTACAAATTCAAAATGTCTTATTAAATCAGCAAATAGTAGAAACGGAGATTATCTGACTGGCAGTAAGATTGACATTATAAACATATGAAAATCCAAATCTATTACAAAAAAATAGCAAAAATATTCGTAATATCTAAAACACTTATGGGAAAATGTTACTTTAATCTTTCTTCGATTTGGCTACACCAAAAAATATCAAATTTTATTTCAAAAAATCATTTCAAAAATGTATTTTTATAACATAGGTGGCTCGCATCAGTCAGTATGAGTCAAAGGTCAGTTTGGGTGCGTGAGGTAATATTTGTATTACCGGTTGACCCGCAGCTGCACAAATTTGTGATGACAACTCCAGACTAAATTGCATCCTTTTATAAATATCAGTCAGTTATGTACCATGCGTGATCATGTATCTTTTGATACATGAATGACAGACTTTTCCCGCAGTAGGTTGCCATTTCTTTCTGCAGTAGACCAGTTGCCATCCAAGGCACCCGGAATGTCCTGTTATTTACCCATATCTAGAGGGAAGAAGAAGAAAATTCATACCTTTCCCAAGGGTATTAGGACGTAAGTGAACGACTCGAATTTGAACTCGGCTCACCGGTTTCTCACTCCGTGCCACTATTCATTACTCCACCGTATTTTATTTATTGTAAACTCATTATTTTTCTATTTTTTTTTTTTTTTTGGTCATCAAGATTTCTTCTTTTTTTTAAAAATAGAACAATGATTACTTTAAAAAAAACATAATTCTAGAAGACAATCTGTTATGTTGATCATAAAAAATGTAAGAATACCCTAATACATTTTCTTTATTTGATCTCAAGTAATAAAATACTTTTGGCAAAAATGATTATTATAAAAATTAAAGAAATCAAATTTTCACCGGGAAATGCCATACCCTCTAAAAGAGCCATACATTGACCGATTGAAACCAAATTTTGGGGAGAAGTGTTAACAGATAAGGGGTTACAAAGGACAGTTGGTTTTACTTGAGTGCGTAGCTTAGTACAATAAATTTTCATTAACAGTTTTTTTTGAAAAATTAAGTCTTGTTATTTAACATACAAAATACTCCCGTTATTGGATATTAATATCAGCTACGAGTGCGCAAACTCGTAATCATTTCTGCTTTCAGTTGACATCACGCTCGCACGAAGCCGTAGATAAGATGCACTGATTGAAAGAATAAAGAAATATGTGTTAAAGTTATCGAAGCCTATTACGAAAATGGTCAAGCTGATGAAGATTTTTCGCAAAAATCCTCTTTGGTGATGAAGCCCATTTTCATCTTGGTCGATTCGTTAATAAGCAGAATTGCTGCATTTGGGCTGATGAAAATCCAGGGAAGATTGTTAAAAAG